GAGTTCAGTTGGTGTTTACTCCGAATATTTTGTATTATTTGAAATCAAGAAGATAATCTTAGAATAAAGAATAAGGAGGGAGAAATGAAGATGGACCATCTGTCCTGAAGGAATCACAAGACCTCCTTTCTCAGCAGAAGACTGGCAAGCGAGGCTCCTGTGTCCAGACATGTGCTTCTCTGAGACTCAACCTTCGTGACCACAGGAGCCCTGGCTGCTCCACTGTCACGTGTAGGTCATGAATGTGGTTCACCTTGAGGAGTCAGCACAGGGCAGGAACCAGATCACTGGTTCAAAAGACCTGGGTTCAAATCCTAACTCTCCCTTCTGAATCTCTTTGTATTTATAGGAGAGGGACCATGACGCAAGCCCTACTGGGGGCAGGTAGGTTAAATGAGAAGCATTTTCAGCACAGTGCCTAGTTCCTCTGACCTTCTTCTGGATTATAAAATGGAAGTTTCAAAGATTTTTTGATGGTTCTAAAGTTTTATGGGTCTTTTGAAGCTGAGGAAGTTGGTCGGTGGGCTACTTCTTTTTAGTCATTTCCATCAGGTACACGAAGAGCGTTCCCTATGGGAGCCTCTCACCGAGGCCTGCTAGATTAGATTAATTATTTGCTGTGGATTAAATCGGATGTTAATTATGGGCTCAAATAAGATCCTGGTGTGTTCATCGAAGGCAATGTTAAGACTTTACTTTTTTCTAATGGTTTTTTCTAATGGTTCTGATAAAGGGCAGAGGTTATTCTTGGAGCATGAAAAAGGTCTAAACAGCCACAGCTGGTTTAATTACAACTAGGAAGAGATCAGAGGGAAGAAAAAAGATGAGGTGTATGATCCCATGATATGCTAATTAGAAATTTTCATATATGTTGCTTTGCAAAATACTATTATATCAGGTACTTTTGCAAAGACCTTGAAGAGGAAAATTGCACTTGTTTTTTTTTTTTTTTTTAATGAGTTTCTACTTTCTCTGAAGATAGTAACTTTTCCAACCACACTGGTCAGGGTGAAAAAATTACTTTTCTGCAATTGCTCTGCAGTCAGGTCTTTGCCATCATGGTGACGGAAGTGAAAGTGCTGATTAAGGGCTCAGCAGGAAGGTGACATGTGCAGAATCATAATAGGAAGATGGCAGCGATTCAAACGTTGGGTCATTTACTTTGGCAACTGTCATTAGCAGGTGACAGGGCTGTGGGGTAGGGAGAAGGGGAGTCATCCTAATTATGTTCCGCAGCATTTGCTCGTTTCTCCGGTTCTGCTCCTTACGTAATTTTGCTTTTTACTGTAGTGGTCTGCATATCTGTTTTTCCAGTAAGATTTTAAGCTGTGGCAAGGCCTAAACTAGACATGCATTCGTCAATGAATCCCCCAGAACTTTGCACAATACTCTGCAGTAATAGTTGCTTAATAAATGCTGGTTGAACTGAATTTTCAAGTAGCCGGTGCCGTGTCAATGTATTCCACGGCTTCTAGTTTAAAACAGTTGGCTACAAGCACGGGCAGAGACATGGGATGGCCTTTGTGCTTGGCCTGAGAGAGTTTGAGATGAACTCTTCCTTCCATCTGTTGACTCATTTTGCATTTGACCGAGTTGCTCGAATGCACTTCTGGTCAGGAGTTGACGTTGACAGTGGTACCCAAATTCAGTTTGATCGTTAAAATGCTCCAAAGAGGAGGAATCAAAGGACCTGAAATCGGCTGATAGCGGATTCTAATTCTGGACACCTCTTGGTAACAGTAAGTGCTTCTTTCTATCTAACTCCAGTCTCACACGATGCATTTTAATCCCCTTTATTATTCCTTCTTCTCTTGGGAGAGATGGCTGGAGGTCACTTTGCTAGGTTGTGTGGAAAGTCCTCGGTAGCAAGATGACTTCCTGGCCCTTAGTGAGGCTGGCCCAAATCATCTTCTGGTCTGTTTTTCTCATGAACTGGTCAACGGCAGAGTTAGGACCCATCAGCACGGATTCAATTTTGAGGCTTAGTGGGCAGTACAGGTCTGATTCATTTATTTAGCTCTGGTATTAGTCCAGAGACAGAGAATTTCACTTGGTCGAAAATGTTCACCGCCTCCTTCATTCGGGCTGATGGATTGGTGGCTGAACAGAAGGCATTTCTTCCGACCTCAAAGCTTTGTTAGACCCATGCAAGGAGGGAAAAGATCAGGTTTCTTCTTTTCTTAACTGTTCTTAACAGCTTTTTCAGAATCTTCACCGTTTTCCCCTGCTTCCCTCAGCCAGCAAGGTGACAAGACACTGACTTTGAATTGGGGGTTGGGATTGAAGTCTGCTCCCGCTTCTTCCACAGTCAATGCATTAATAAACAGCTCAGAAAATAACATGTCAGCTCAGATTTCCTCTCTCGGCGGTGAATAACATTTCAGAATCCTTTGGAGGTGCTCACGACCGCAGTGCATTATTTGTGATTGGTCCCTACGTCCCTCCCCAGCATGTGAATTCATTTCCTCTTCCTTTTCCTAAGCCAGAGTGGTAATGTTTCCTGCTTGCCGGAGTACCGTTCTCTAAGGGAGAGACCAAACCTTTGTGTTTTAGCCCTGCAATAGAAATGCTCGGTGAAACCATTAAGCAGGACCATTTACCCATTTAACCATTTAAATGTTGGGACAAAATGATGAAAATCACGTTCAACCCACTTTTTTTTTAAGTGACAAGTTACCTAATAGTTACGCTAGCTTCTAATATTAAGTAGCTACTTACATGTCAGGCTGGGTCTGTTGCCTCCTACTAGTGCTGAAACCAGAGGTATTGAAAGTGATAATTATTACTTTATATGAAGAGTGAAGCTTGAAATCTGAACTGAGGTCAATGTATAATAATCATAGCTCACATTTATCAAGTGATTATGAATAAGGCACTTGGTAATTACCTTATGTGCATTATCTCATGTAATTCCAACAACATCCCTAAGAAGTAGGTGCTATTGTTATTATTTTGCAGTTGAGGCAACTCTAGTTTAGAGAGTTAAGTAACTTGACATAGAGACAAGGACATAGAGAAGGTGGGACTTGAGCTGGAGTCAACTTGCCACATACTATATCCTATTTCCAGGTAGACCTGTTGGCTTCTAACTGCTTAATACCAGCTTCTGGGACACTGTTTTCTCAACAGCTGTAGTTGGCATAAAGATTACTCTTCTCTTCTTAACATTTGCTTTTATTTAGATTCTAGAATGCTTGCAAATACATGTATTTCAGTCAAGGGGTAGGTGATTGTTTTAACAGAAAAGGACTATGTAACTTCCTAGAAAGAAGGGTAGGGACTTAAGGTATAGCACAAGGAACTCCACTCAATACTCGGGACTTAAGTTATAGCACAGGGAACTCTACTCAGTACTCTGTAATGGCCTATATGGGAAAAGAATCTAAAATAGAGTGGATATATGTATTGATATATGTATAACTGACTCACTTTGCTGTACGCCTGAAACCAAAACAACACTGTAAATCAACTCTATGCCAATAAAAATTAAAAACAAAAAGTGGGGTTGGGGGGAGAATTTCTTCCCCAAAACTCCTCTGAACACACTATTTGGGTGAAAGAAAAAGTGGCATCGTTCACTGCCTTTGCCCTCTTTCTACAATGGAAGTAAAATCAGCTTCTAGGATGAACTTGAAAACGTTTTGCTAGGGACTTCCCTGGTGGCTCAGTGGTTAAGAATCTGCCTGCCAATGCAGGGGACACGGGCTTGAGCCCTGGTCCGGGAAGATCCCACATGCCGCTGAGCAACTAAGCCCGTGCGCCACAACTACTGAAGCCCACGCACCTAGAGCCGGTGCTCCGCAACAAGAGAAGCCACCGCAATGAGAAGCCCGCACACCGCAACGAATAGTAGCCCCCGCTCAACACAACTAGAGAAAGCCTGCATGCAGCAACAAAGACCCAACACAGCCAAAAATAAAATAGATAAATAAATTTATTTAAAAAAAGAAAAGGTTATGCTAAACGAAAGAAGTCAGACACAAAGGTCCCATGTTGTATGATTCCTTTTATGGCATATATCCACAGAGACAGAAAGCAGATTACAGGTCACCAGGGAAGTGGTTACTTAATAGGTAGGGTGTGTTTTTATGGGGTGATGAAAAGGTTTGGAAGTTAGAAGAAGCTGGTGGTTGCACAACAAAGCGAATACACTAAATACTACTGACGTGTACACTTTTAAATCGTCAATTATACATAATGTGAATTTTACCTCAATAAAAGTTAAAAAATAAAACAAAATCAGTTTCTAGTGAGGTTTTCTGTTTCTCTGGTTGACTCTTGGACAAATGCTACCCTTTCAGTGAAGGGAACAAAGAGAAACTCCGAAGTATTACCCTATTGGGTGAACCTCAGAGATGGTGGCAGTGGCGGTTAAGTGATTTGTCAAGTACTCCCCATATATCCACTCTTATGTATATGTATAACTGATTCACTTTGCTGTACAGTAGAAACTAACACAATACTTTAACTCAAGTATACTGCAATAAAAATTTTAAAAGAAGATTGGTCTTGAAGAACGGGCAAGATTTGGAATAATTAAAAGGAGTGATGATGGTGAATTCAGGTATTTGCTGCCGTGGGGTAGAGTCTAGATGAACTGGGTCTTTTCAACATCATCCTCAACAGACAGAAAATAGTTTTCTTAAGTGAATGGAGAGCATTGTTCCTTTAACCCATTGTAATGCATTTACAGTCATTTCTAATTGTAGCCCCTTCCAATGCTATAGTTTTGTATTGTATGTGGCGGTTCTGTGCCAGCTTTGGCTTCCAACGTTTGAACTCTTCTATTTGGGGGCCTTCATTGTGCAGATCTTAGTGGGAGGGAGGGCCGTGATCCCCAACAGAAGCCAAAGAAGGGAAAAAATCTCTCCCTTCCCTGCTTCTTGACACTGACGTGACCTGACCTTGACCAATCAGATGGTCCCGCCCAGTCCTGTGAAGCTGTCTGCAGAAATTTCCAGCAGTGGAGAGGGTCCAGAGCACTAGAGCCTTAGATAGACTTTCTGGTGCAAACGTGGCTGGGTTGTGGGTTGTCAAGCTTGCTCTGTTTTCTGTCAATATCCTGAGAGTATTCCTCAGACGTCCCAGAATTTTTTTCCCCACTACCCAATATTTCATGCCTATGTGTATATATATATATATATATTTAATAACAGCATTATTGAAATATCATTTGTATACCATGCAATTCTCACAACTTGCTTTTGATACATGTAATCACAAGTCCTAACCGGCACAAGTCCCCTTTAAGAAATGAGGATTTTAAACATAAAATGGAATTAAAAAAAATTAATACAAATCACATTACAGAAAAGTTGTGAAACAGAAGAAAATGATCTATAATCCACCATTCCAATATAATGATCATGTCTGTGGTTTTTACATTCCTTTTTTTAAACCTATACACATTCTTACAGTTATCCTCATGTCTTATCCAGCTTGAAAAAGATGCTTACCTGACCATAGCTCTTCCAGGGAACACAGTTAGTCTTGAGAGCCTGGGGGAGCCATCTAAAAAGTTTTGAAAAATCAAGTACCAGGGTTCCTAGGCTCCCTCGTCCAGTTAGCATTCATTGAGCTAATCAGCCACCCAGTTTAAGAGAAGTCTTGTTAGCAGATAAAGAAAAATTGTGTATAGAAGATTCTTCATGCACACAAGGATGAAAATGTAAAGGCCACGAGGGAAGGTGGCTTTCTAAGGGAGAAGGTGGATTTCTAAGGAGAAGGTGTGTGGCAAAACCTGGCCATGACCTATTCAGATGCAACCATTCAAATTGGATGATCACATTTACATTAAATGATGCAGCTGTGCATCCCTGTGCTGGGTATAGGAAGATAAAGGCTCACCGAGCAGAGTCTCTTCTCTTAAAGACTACGATCAGGTTGGTGTGATGAGACATAACATAGGACGACTAGAGAACATATTGTGTTGGCCAAAAAGTTCGTTTGGGTTTTCCCTGAGATGCTACGGAAAAAGCGAATGAACTTTTTGGCCAAGCCAACATCATACAAGGCACAGGCATCTGGAAGAGCAGTGGATGTCCGTGATGGTTAGATGTGTGACTTAACAGTTCCCAGGAAGGGCTGCTTGGCCTTGAGACCCTTCAGATGTGCCTGGAAGAATGGGCAAGATTCAGGTAGATGAAGAGAAAGAGCAAGGGCAAATTGAGGGGACAATTATAGCAAAGACGTGTTTCAGAGATGGAAGGTTGCCAGGGGGGGCGTCTCCCAGCCCAGCTTCGGTTGTGGAACAGCAGGGCTTGGATCAGGAGTTCCCAAACTTTAGGGTCCTGAGACCCCTTGACACTCTTAAAAATTACTTAACATATCAAAGAATTTTTGTTTCTGTGAGTAATTTCTATCTATATTTACTGGATTTGAAATTAAAAATGGGAAATTTGGAAGGATTTATTTATTACTTGATTGAACATAACAATAATAAAGTCTTACAAGTTAAAATAAGTAACATTTTCATGAAAAATAATTCTGTTTTCTAAAACAAAATGTTTTAGTGAGAAGAGAGGCATTGTTTTTGCAAATCTTAGTAGAAGACAGCTGGTTTCTTTTATCTGCTTCTGCACTCAGTCTGCCACAACTTGTTGTTTTGGTCGAAAGAGCTGGGGGAAATGTGGCCTATGTTATAAAAGGGGAGGACTTTTAATAGCATTTTCAGATGATATTACACTAGAATTTGACAAGAAGTAATTTCTTAAAAGTTAGTTGCAGTTGTAGACTTTGAAACCTTATCAATAAACTTTTCATACTCTGCTAGGTTATAATCCATTGGTCCCTTGTGCACTGTGGTTGGGTCTTTTACCTGTGTGTGATTTTGTAACTTCATTCACTGGTCATTTGGAAAATATTGTTCACTCAGTTGCACAGATCTTCCAAATGATGCCATATTCAAAAGATCATATCTGTTACATCATCCCATCAAAAGATCGTGTCTGGGCTTCCCTGGTGGCGCAGTGGTTGAGAGTCCGCCTGCCGATGCAGGGGACACGGGTTCATGCCCTGGTCCGGGAAGATCCCACATGCCACGGAGCGGCTGGGCCCGTGAGCCATGGCCGCTGAGCCTGCGCGTCCGGGGCCTGTGCTCTGCAATGGGAGAGGCCACAACAGTGAGAGGCCCGCATACTGCAAAAAAAAAAAAAAAAAAAAAGATCGTATCTGTTACATCATCCCTCCATCTCATTAGCAGAGTCTCTAAATACTGGGAAGCTCTCAAGCTCATGGTGACAGATGAGTTTTCCAACATTCTCCTTTTCACTTGAAAGCTAGGCATTTATCGCTGGCAGCAAGTTCTGTAAGTAGAGTCGTCCTTGAAGTGACAAGGTCGTGTCATTCTTTGTAGAGACAACGCCTCATAAATGCCCAAGTCTGAAGGACCATCGTTTGTCTGTCAATAGTCCTTTCTGGTAAAAGTCTGTTCCATGAAAACAGTGGCTTGCTTGGCTCACAATTCAAATGATTGCATGAGTACTTGGCTTTCTAGCTTATGCAGAGGAAGAGGCTGCCTGCAGGACTTTTGGTGGGGGGATGCTGTCAGCCAGCCTGGGTTGTGTGTTCCCCAACCTCAGGATTCTCCATCCCACCGGTTTCCTGCTCCATCTCCTGCTGGAAGCTAAGAGCATGGGTGTTCCCTGATGTAGCTGACACAGGTCAACAAGGATGGGGAAAGAGTGGGCTGTGGTTCTGGAAGGTGTCCAACACGATAAACAGGGAAGAGTTCCTCGATTGGCATGTCTTATATTTCAACTTGGTATTGCGTCCTATGCTTTATTCAAACAGCTGGAAGATAAACTGTTTGTCCACAACTGTGTTGAGGACATATTTCAGATGTGACAATGATTCTCAGTGGCCAGACGAGGCAAGCAGAGCTTCCCCTCCAGGGCTGCCTCTGGCTCCTGCTTTACAGGGTTTGGAACAGTTCTCCCGTCCCGCGGATTGTAGCCCACTCATTACCACTTCCCCATCTGCCCGACTGACTCTGTGTCAAGGACTCCCCACTTGGAGTTCCTAAATGGCAGTGGAGGCCAGTACTTTAGTTCTGGATCCTGAAGTCAGTCGTCCATTTGTCTGAGATCTCGTCAAATCTCTCTCTGCAGCTGATTCCAGGACCCTGGTCTCAAATATTTCCTGCTCTGCTCCCCAGCTCTCTCTATCTTCCGGGTGCCCATCACTTACCAGTTAACAACTCCTGTGCTCTTTGAAGGTAAACACATTGACTAATTAGTCCTTAGTGAATAATTTAAATAATTGGAGAAAAGTGGAAGGAGCAGAGCTGAAGCGCTTTTCTGGGTGGACACAGAGGTGAGTCATCTCTGCATTGTCCAGATACACCAACTGAAGGTCACCGTGGTGGTTAATCTTGTGTCAGTTTGGCTGGGCTATGACGCCCGGTTGTTTGGTCAAACACAGTCTAGATGTTGCTGTGAGGGTCCTTTTTAGATGTGATTAACATTTAAATCAGTAGACTTTAAGTCAAACCAATTAGTCTCCATAATGTGGGTAGGTCTCATCCGACCAGTTGAAGGCCTTAAGAGAAAAGACTGAGGTCTCTCAAGGAGGGAGAACTTCTGCCTTCAGGTTGCCTTTGGACTTGAATTGCAATAGTAAGCCTTCCCTGGGTCCCCAGTCTGCGGGCCTGCCCTGCAGATTTCAGACCTGACATCCTCCACAATCACGTGAGTCAGTTCCTTAAAATAACTCTCTCTTTCCACACCCTCCACCACCATACATATATAGAGAGAGAGACACATTCTATCAGTTCTATTGGTTTCTCTGGACCCTGACTTAGATGCAATGTTTGGAATCTAAGTATACTGGGAAAGTATTAAATTATTTTGTTCTCACAACAACTCTCTTTAGGTTAAAAAATATATATATGCACATCTTTTAAGGAATTGTAGTGATTAGTTCAACGTTTCTAGACCATGGCTGCACGTTAGAATCAACCGGGGAGACTAAAAATGCTGATGCCCAGGCCCCACCCCAGGCCAATGAAGAATCTCTAGAGTTTGATCCAGCACTGGGGTTTTAAAAACTCCAGGGCTATCTGAGTACCGCAGCCAGGGTCAAGGACCGGTGAATTAGGCTACCTCTGGGAAGAGGTAAAGGCAGCGCTGAGAAAGCATAAAGACAGCCTTTCTTCCTGGGGCATAAAATGCAGCCACCTGTAAGGGACAAATTAACCAGGAACAATATTCACGCTGATTACACCTCTTCACCCTGGCATTCACTGCCGGCTCACTGGAACTTTCAGTTTTAGGAAACCTATAATTTATGGAATTCTTTGAAGATGTCTCTGTGAATAATGCATATCTGTCTACCATCCATCAAATGATTTTGTCATTCTGAGTGGGTCTGACCAATATGAATAGTCAGAATTGAGCTCCTGCTGGACTTGAAGGAGGATCACCCTTCTATTCATAATTACCTTATGTCATTGGAAAAAGAGCTTTGCCCTGGATTCACAAAAGGCATTGGCTTGACACGTTACCTTACCTTAACCATATGCTACTGTGCAAGTTAAAAAAAATAGTATCATTTGAAACTGACTGGAATTATATTCATTTCCCCCCAAGATAAATAGACTCTGTTGAGCATATTCATTTTTCAAAGGCCATTCAGTATCCAGGAACATGCATCTGATCTTCAGGTGGGTGGTGCTCTCAGAGAGAGATGAAGTGAGTGAAGGCAAATTAATGAAGGTTGTGCCCCAGGACTAACCTTCCCTTGGTCTGAAGGGCTATCCCATTGTTGCTGCCAAGGTTCCCTCTGCTAGATCCTTGGCCTCTGACCATTGTCCTAATTTACTGAGGTGAAGCTTAGAAGTGGAGCTATTTTTACCTTTGGGCACAATAACAGTCAGCACCACACAGAGAATGAGTGTGCTGGGCAGCAAAGTTGCAAAGCGTGTGAGTGTTGGTGTTCATTCTTTGTCCATAGCATTGGCTCTGAGGGGCATTTCCCACTCCAGGTGAGGTGCCAGGCTGGGAAGGTGTGTGTGCACAGTGTAGAGGATTGTGCTACTGCCCACCTGTAGCAATGCAACCCGCACCTGTGAAAATGCTATCCTTCACCTGCAGCTATCCTACCCTCCATGTGCAACAATGCTACCCTTTTGCAGAGTATGGTCACCACGATGACCTCATGCCATTCTCATTCTGTTCAGGCAACTAAGAACATCATCCTTTGGGGGCAAAGGAAATCATGAAGAAATAATGACATCCAGTCCTGTGCCTGTCCTCACACAATTAGGGAATGGCAGCCCCATGGCTAGAACCCTGTCCTAACTCCTATTTCAACACTCTTAAAAACCAATGCGGCATTTATCTGTTACTCTGTACGAGGATAGAGATAGTGTTTATGTGTACCTGTGGAAGGAGAAAGAGGTCCTCTGGAAAGAGAGGGAAGTTGAGGGCAGCTGGCTGCACCGCTGTTTTGGGTCCTGGGGAGCAGGTGGAATTCCAGGGGCTTCTCACCTGTGATGCTGCCCAAGTGCTTCCAGTGTGCCCAGCTCCTACCTAGCAGGGGAGATGGGTCCAGGGCTGTGCCCCTTTCATGCTGAGCCAGGCCTGGACGGTCCCTGTGGCTGCAGTGGGGAGGGGGGATCTGGGAGAGGTGTGTCTGCATGGGGACCTGGCCCTGGCCATGAGCTATAGGAGGCGGATCTAGCTTCACCAAGAGCTGGGAATGTGTCTGCTGTGTGTGTGAATGTGTGCGTGTATGTGTGCGTGTGTTTTATGGCTCCCTGGAGAATCTGCATGCTTTCCTATGTAACCTGGACAATGATTTTTATTCCAAGAACTTTATCACCAATGTCTACACACCATTGGTCCAGATCACATTGCTCTGAGGTCAGACTCCAGTGAAGTATGTCAGGGGGTTCAGGGATTCTGAACTGGATCTGTGAACTGGATCTGTGAACTAATACTATTTTTTGCTTATCAAACTAGCCAACATGAAAACATGATATTACACAATGATAGTGAGCCATTTTTCATGAAATTCATTATCAAAGACAGTCATTGCAACATTATCTATTGTGGCCAAAGCTGAAAACAAGCTAGGTGTTCAAATAGGAGGACAGTTATGGTACATCCCTATAATGAAGTTTTTAGAAATGGCATTTCAAAGAATATTGAATGACATAGAAAATGTTCAAAATATACAGTAAATCAAAAAACAATGACACATTGGAAGGTCTAGCCACAGCAATCAGACAAGAAAAAAAATAAAAGGAATCCAAATTGGAAAGAAGTAAAACTGTCACTGTTTACAGATGTCATGATACTACACATAGAAAATTCTAAAGATACCACCAAATAACTATTAGCACTAATAAATGAATTCAGTAAAGTCGCAGGATACAAAATTAATATACAGAAATCTGTTGCATTTCTATGCATTAGCAATGAACTATCAGAAAGAAAAATTAAGAAAATCCCATTTACAATTTCAACAGAAATAATAAAATGGCTGGGAATAAATCTAAAAGACCTGCACTCAGACAATTATAAGACACTGATGAAAGAAACTGAAGATTACACAAACGAATGGCAAGACATACCGTGTTCATGAACTGGAAGAATTAATATCGTTAAAATGACCATACTACCCAGGGAAATTTACAGATTCAGTGCAATCCCAATCAAAATATCATGGCATTTTTTCACAGAACTAGAAGAAATAATTCTAAAATTACTATGGAAACACAAAAGACCCTGAATAGCCAAAGAAATCTTGAGAAAGAAGAACAAAGCTGGAACTATCATGCGCTCTGATTTCAAACTATACTACAAATATATAGTAATCAAAACAGTATAGTACTGCCACAAAACAGACACATAGACCCATGGAAGAGAATAGAGAGCCTAGAAATAAACTCACACTTATATGCTCAATTAATCTATGACAAATGAGGCAAGAATATATAATGGGGAAAAGATAGCCTCTTCAAAAAACAGTGTTGGAAAAAACTGTACAGCTACAGGCAAAAGAAGCAAACTGGACTACCTTCTCACACTATATACAAAAAACAAACTCAGAATGGATTAAAGATGTAAATGTAAGACCTGAAACCACAGAACTCCTAGAAGAAAACATAGGCAGTACAGTCTCTGACACTGGTCCTAGGAATATTTTGTTTTAGCTCTCTTGCCTCAGACAAGGGAAACAAAAGCAAAAATAAACAAATGTGATCACATCAAACTAAAAAGCTTTAGCACAGTGAAGAAAACTATCAATACAACTAAAAGACAACTTACTGAAGGGGAGAAGATATTTGCAAATGATATATCTGATAAGGGGTTAATATCCAAAATATGCAAAGAATGTATACAACTTAACATAAAATAACAAAAAAATCCAATTAAAAATGGGCAGAGGACCTGATTAGACATTTTTCCAAAGAAGACATACAGATGGCCAGCAGACAAATGGAAAGATGTTCAACATCACTAATCATCAGGGAAATGAAAATCAAGACCACAATGAGATATCACCTCACAACTGTCAGAATGGCTATTATCAAAGAGACAACACGTAACGAGTGCTGGTGAGGACATAGAGAAAAAGGAACCCTTGTGCACTGTTGGTGGGAATGTAAATTGGTGCAGCCACTATGGAAAACAGTATGGAGGTTCCTCAAAAAATTAAAAATAGAGTTGCCATATGATCCAGCAATTCCATTTCTGGGTATTTTTCTGAAGAAAACCAAAACATTAATTTGAAAAGATACGTGCACCCCTATATTTATTGCAGCATTATTTAAAATTGCCACGATATGGAAGCAACCAAAGTGTCCATTGATAGATGAACTGATAAAGAAAATGTATATATAAAGAAAATGTATATAATGGAATATTACTCGGCCATAAAAAGAATGAAATCTTGTCATGTTTTTGACAACATGGGTGGACTTAGAGGGTGTTATGCTAAGTGAACTGTCAGACTTGATATAAAAATATAGTATGGTTTCACTTACATTTGGAATCTAAAACAAAACAAAACAAATGAATGAACATGACAAAACAGAAACAGACTCATAGATACAGAGAACAAACAGGTGGTTGCCAGGGGTGGAGGGAGGGGGGATGTTGAGTGAAATAGGTGGCCGAGATTAAGAGGTACAAACTTCAGTTACAAAATAAATGAGTTATGGAGATAAAATATACAGTCAATAATATTGTGATAACTTTGTATGGGGACAGATGGTAAGTAGATTTTGTGATCATTTTACAATGTATAGAAACATTGAGTCACTATGTTGTGTACTTGGAACTAACATAGTGTTGTACATCAATTATACCTCAATTAAAAAAGCAAACAAAACAAAACAAAACATGGAAATAGAAAAATAGCCCAAAAAGAGGTAAGAGAAAAAGAAATAAGATAATGGAAGGACAATTGGAAAGCATAAAATACTCTTTCTATCAGATTAATGAAACTTCCTTCTATTCCTAGTTTGCAAAAAGTTTTTATCATGAATAGATGTTTGTTATGAAACATATCTTAGAAAAAAAGAAGCAATGACATAAAATCGTATAATCAGTTTCCAACTATGTAAAAGTCTGCATATATATATATATATATATATACACACACACACACACACACACATATACATATATATATCATAAAAAACACTTTAAGAAAACATCAAAATATTAGTGGTGATCATCTCTGGGGAGTGAGGTTAATGATGATTTTCTTTTCTAATTTTTAACTTGGCTATATTTCTAAATTCTCTACACTGAACACACTTTTGTTACCAGAATGAACCCAAATGTGATTAACATACAGAGAAGACCCCCATAGAGTTTGTCCCACTAGTTTTGAGTCAGAAGCAAGGTGAAGTAGACAAAAGCCAATGTATTTCCCACCTCCATCGTTTATTCATTTGTTTGTTCAGCCTTTACTGTGAGACTCTGTCCCAAGGTTGTACAAGCACTGGAGACCCAAGGTTGAGCAAGCCTTCATCTCCCAGCAAGAAGTACTCAGCTCTGAAGGGCAAGGTCAGACATGACTGTGAGGTGAAAGAGAGTAGATGTGAGTGCAAGTCGCTAAGGGGGCCAGAGGATGGGCTTGGGTGAGGTGTCAGAAAGCAGGCATCAAGCGTATATTGAAGAATGACTGTTTGCTTAGAATATATAGAGAAGAGCATTCCCAGGAGATCCAGTGCAAGTGATTTCCTGTGATCAGAGGGTAGGGTTGAAGCAGAGATAGTGATGGGAGAGGAACACAGAAAGTTTGGTGGGCCTGATCATGCTAGATAATTAGGGCTTTTTTCTCAAAGTCAGTGTTGTTCAAATTGTGTGTTCTGAAATAATTTGGTGGGTTATAACCTGCATTAAAAAACCACACACACACAAAGTGGGGGGGTAGGAGGGTTAAATTAGGAGTTTGGGATTAACAGACACACTATTATATATGAAACAGATAACCAGCAAGGACCTACTATATAGCACAGGGAACTCTACTCAATATTTTGTAATCACCTATAAGGGAAAAGAATATGAAAAAGAGTATATATATATATATATATTTTTTTTCTGAATCACTGTGCTGTGCACTTGAAAATAACAAAACATTGTAAATCAATTAGACTTCAATAAAAAAAACACAAAGGAAGAGTACAGAAAATATCAGTGTATATCACCTAAGTATCGTTTGTGAAATGTATTTTCTTTTTTTCAACTTAAAAGGTCTTTTTATTCTGAGACAATTACAGATTCATAGGAAGATGCAAAGAAATGTACAGGGTGGTCCCAGGTACCCATCCTCCAGCTTCCTCCAAGGTTAACGTCCTATACAACTGCAGTACAATGTCAAAGTCAGAAAACTGACAGTGGGATAGCCCACAGAGCTCACTCAGGACTCATCAGTTATGCACACACTCATTTGTCTCAGCTGTGTGTGGAGACCCGTGTGAAACCGCTGCACGTGTAGCCTGGTGCAGTCACCACCACAATCCAGATACGGAACTATACCACCCTGCGACACTCCCTCGTGCTACCCGCTTATAGCCACCCCTGCTTGTGTGTGTGTGTGTCCGTGTGTGTGTACAGGATCAAGACATAACATGGCTTTCTTTCTGTGAGCCACATTCAAGAAGAATTGACAGCCACTGCCACTGCACATGGCAGAAGGATTGTAGGCTGGGGTGTGGGGTCGTGGAATTGTCAGATTTATTTTAGAGGTCATCTTGGCAGCAGCGTGGAGGCTGAACGGAAAAGATGAGCCAGGTGAAGGCAGGGAGACCAGCGCCCTCGGTCATCAAGCAAAGTTGTGAACACACCTTCTTTCATTTGTTTATGTCTTCTTTCCTTTTCCCCTTCCTTCATTAAACATAGCCTATATAATAAAACATTTCTGTTATATAATATATAAATGTCATAATGATATGTATAATATTTGTAAATATCACCCTGTATAATATGACATTCTCTGTTAATCTTAGCAATTCTAAGTCGCACTTCTGAAAATATTATGTCTTATGGTCAAAGCTTCATACCCACTGGTTAATTAGGATGATAATACGGTTATTTAATTTTTTTCACAAACTCCACCCCTGTTAGTGACAGTAAGATGTTCCAGTTCTGCTTATTATTACTTGATTTTTATTTCTTTTACTATTTTTTATTCTTCACTAGGAGTTTTTATTTTAATTCAAAATACTGTAGCTGGTTGATTTAACTTGTCATTGCCAATAAAGTTTGTCATTATCAGCAAAGGATAGCAAGCAATCTAAACAAAGGCAATTGTTAATAAGGAAGCAGGATGTGAGCCCTTTCACAGAGAGCAGTGAGTTTTGGTTCTAGTTCATCGTGTGTCTACCTTTGCAATGGTGGAGATGAGGAGACACGTAGAACATATCAGGTGAGCTTTGAGGGTACTTTGTGGGTGATGATATGAATATTTCAGGCTTACCCTCCAGACAGTTTTTTGTGTTTACTGGGGAGTGCATGGCAGGTGAAGCCCCATCTGGATAACAAAGACACATGTGAGCGAAATGGACAGGCCTGTCCAAGTTGAGGTCACCATTAATTAGGTGGTATAAGCATATAAAAAGAAGGTGATCCGGACTCAGGTTTAGTGCCTAGGCAGGGAAAAGGCTAAGACACGGAGGAAGAAGACATAGGAACACTTAGGACACCAAGATGATCTTTGCTGAAGAGGTCGGTGGGATTCACTCCTCCGAAGTCAGCGCGCACTGGTCAGCAGAGATTTTGAAATCTCTCTCTAGGGAAGGGAAGAAGCACCTGCTTTTCCCATTCCAGGCAGAAGGCAGATCCATTACTTTTATCTGAAATTGGACTTTAATAAGCCTCCATTTATAGTTTCCTCAACGGTTAAAACAGAATCGTAATAGTTCATAGGTCATATTGTTGTTATAAGGATCAAACCTACCATATAAATGCTGCCTTTTGTGGTTCTATTAAAATTCTGTTGAACTAATAAATGCTTCTGCCTTTTTTTTTAACGAGCCAATGTACCATCAGAGGGAAGGTGGGAGACGATAGTACTAGAAAGGCATTCGGTTCCTTTCCTTTTATAGGAAAGGCCCTGGACCTACACTGTACATCAGCCACATTGCCCACGTTCCAATTGTTTCGCATCCAACACTGTGTGACTAATTCTTAAGTCCTGCTCTCTACTGACTCATCTGGTAGATCGCTGCTCTACATAGGAGTTCTTTATATTTCTAAAGCTTGTTGTCTGTAAGGAGATTTTTTTTTTTTTTTTTTTTTTTTTGCCCTCTTGCCTTTGAATTCTGAATCCATGGTGAAATTTCAAACATTTATGTCTTTTCTCATTAAACAATGACCTTGTCAGAAGCACCGAGATCTGTCCCAGTGGAGAAAGCTTGCTCAGCCTTGAGATTTTTGGAGCAGCACAGCCCTGAGTTCCTCCATGGTCTGCCGGATGGTCTCAGGAGCCCGCTCATCCTTTGGCAGGAAATGGAGAGAAGGTCAGCCTGGAGACCTTCCTGCATCCTGGTCTGGGATTCTCTTTAAGTGTGGAATTGCAGGGAAAAAAAATCAGGGGGTCTTGTTGCCTTTTCTTTCCAAGATACTGAGTGATCATCTAAACGTATTAGCTAATAGAACACTACTGGTCTGGGGACTGGTTATTTCTGGCAGGATCTGAAGCTCTCCTCTCTGCAGGCTGGAGCTGTGATAAATCTGAGTTCTTTCATTTTTTTCAGAGCAACTGGAGACTGACTCTGCCATGGGTGAGAGATGTCTCACCAGGGCACTTACTTCCTGTGCGGTCAGCCCAGGGGGGAAGGGAAGCAACTAGAGAGCTGGCAACAATCCTATTTCTGGGAGCTGAGCTGCCATGTGGGGGGAAAGACTGGAGTAAAAATACCAGTGGAAAGCAATCAACAAAGGAAAAGTGATGGTTTGGAAGAACCGTCAGTGTATGTACTTTGACTGAAGCTTTGAACTCGGTGCGTTAGGCCCCTTCTCTCTCTTTTCAAAAAAGTGTTTTCTGGAAGAACTGTCAAAAGATCATAGTAGGAGAGGACAGAGAAGACCGACCCTGGCGAGCAGGTGAAGCTCTTGGGCCCCCTGGTCCTTCGTACCTGACAGCCCATCACAATGGAGGAGATACTGATGCTGCTGACAGACGGGGGAGGCGGGAAGTTGTTTATAACACCTGTTAGCCCCGTGCATGCAGCATTACACCTTTTTGTTTTCTTTTTCTTTTTTGACTATTCGTCTGACGTGGCATGAGAAGGGACCATGGGGTGTAGGAAGAGGAAATAATTACCAGATGTGAGCAGAAATGGGACCATTTCTGTTCAATCAAATGAAGAGATGCTGCGTGTAATGTCCACCACTGGGCAACGTGGTCCACTGTCTGGGAAGATGCAAACCACTGGAAGTTGAAGCTAAACGCTGTGCAAACTCAGGACGCTCGTGGAGGTTCTTGGACTCGGTGCTTGTGGTGCTATCTTAATGAGCTGTGGAAGTCAGAATAATCAAATCTTTAAGCTGTGTCCAATTTCCCTTAAGAAGAGAGAGAGCCTGAGGCGAAACACCCCAGGTTTCAGGAGGAAGCAGCTAAGCTGGTACCGAGGATCATTAACGTCAGGGAAGGAGAGGTGACACTGAGCCTGTCACCTGCCTTGCCCAAGCAACCTGGGGCTGAGTCATGTGGGGGAGGGGAAACGAGCCTATTATCTTCGAGAAGCTAGCCAAAAAGTATTTTTCTTTTTGGCTAAAATATCCTAAAAATGAAGTCAATGTGGGCTGAGGAGAGGATCAGGGTTTGAGAAGAGAAGCTCATACTAACTGGACAGTTATCCATTTGACTCTGGGATGTGTGTGTGCGTGTGTGTGTGTTTAAGATTTAGCTTTAAGACAGAGCAGTACTAAGAATGTACTTATATAAAATACTTTAGGGCTTCCCTGGTGGCACAGTGGTTGAGAGTCCGCCTGCCGATGCAGGGGATGCGGGTTCGTGCCCCGGTCCGGGAAGATCCCACATGCCGTGGAGCGGCTGGGCCCGTGAGCCGTGTCCGGAGCCTGTGCTCCACAACGGGACAGGCCACAACAGTGAGAGGCCCGCGGTATTAAATTCAAGGGACTTTATGTACAAATTTACTCTTTTAATGGGTACATAAATTTAATATTAGCTCTACTGCATATATATTGCTTTTCCAACTTGTATGCCCCCCTATAGGGATTTTTCCCTTAAATCAAAATCTATGCATATATGAAATACTCTCACATATGAATCACATTCGACTTTTATTTGGGGAAAATAGAAAATATTTTTATTATGAAATCATCAAAGAAATGATATTATAATGAAAACTGTATTAATATATAGATTTATGAATCACATCGCGGTGACTTTTATCATTTGTGAAATATCCCTCTATTGGTAAGAGTCCGCTTTTAACCCTGGTTTCTATTCTGTACACTATTATTTATATTATGACATTGTGCTTTTCTTTTGTGGTCTAGAGAATACCACGCCTCTCCCAGTTGGTTCTGAGAGGTAATCTTCTGACCCAGTCTCTAAGAAAAGCTATGCAAAACATGCCCTCAAATAGGTTTAAAGGTATCAAATCAAATGAAGGCTTGTTTAGAAATAGATCAAAAAACAGGAAGAAGAAATATCTCTTCTTTTTGAAATAATACATATCTCTAAAGCCTATGCCAGGGAATGTTTGATTGCCCTCTCTTTAAGTTATTTGATTAATAAAGATATCATTTGCTCGATTAGCCATGATGGAAAGTGGCATTAGGAAATATTTATATAGACATATAATGTTCACTTTTTCAGATGTAAGGTGTTAGTACGCCCTGGGTAACACTCACATCATGAAGCTTTTCCAAGGGAAAGAGGAGTTTTTGGAGTGTCTCAGCTTAGCCTTTTGAAGACATTTTAGCGTCAAGGGCATCCGAGTGACATTGCTTTTCCATTGAATAAGCATCCATTCGTTGTCCCACAACCACACGCGTCTGCATCTTCAGCTCCTTGCCATTAACACCCACACCACTGAGCAGCTCCTCGGCTTGAGAGCCGAGGATCAGCCTCTCGGGTCCCACCCTCTGTCCTGACAATCATTCTTACCCTGCGAGAACAGGCAGTCTTCTGCTACCCACTCTTTCCTCAATATTAAGGTCAAATTTCAAGGTCCACCCTCTACAAAATACTTTTCCTGTTTACACATTAACTTAGCTTCTTTTTGATCCCATTCCTGCAGAAATTGAATTTGGTCACGTTGCCCCAGCCTGCTGTAAGCTTCTAGGGGAGAATTTGCGCTCTTTTATATTCTGTACCTGTTGAACATGGCATATTTTAGGAATCCACGATACATGCAGGG